CCTGCCCAAAGAAACTCCATTTGAATTCTCTCTAATCTGTTTGCCACTGTACTAGGGATAGGAAATAGTGACAAGAAATAAGTCAGTAGATTGGACAGAGTAGATTTAATGAGAGTAAGGCGACCTCCCTTCAAAAGGTACATGCGCTTCCACCCCACTAACCTCTTCTCCTCCCTTTCAACAACTCCATTCCAGATATGTTTACTTTTAAACCTTGCCCCTAAAGGAAGCCCAAGATATGACATAGACAACTGCGCAACCCTACAACCCAATATATCGGCCAACTCATCCACGTTAGCAACCTCTCCTACTGGGATGATCTCCGATTTCCTTAAATTAATCTTCAATCCCGACACAACTTCAAAACATAGAAGTAACCGACGCAAGTTCCTGAACTGCTCATTATCTGCATCGCAGAGGATCAGTGTGTCATCTGCAAATAGCAAATGAGAAACCTGTAAGTGTCCAACCGTAAAGCCCCTTAGCAATCCTTCTTCCACAGCTCTCTCAAGCATCTTACTAATTGCCTCCATAACAATCACAAACAGCAACGGAGACAGGGGATCCCCTTGCCTCAAACCTCTACTACTTCGAAAATGACCCTCTGAGTTGCTATTGACCAAAACGGAGAATGAAATGGTGGAGATACAAATTGAATCCACTTGCACCACTTTTCCCCAAAGCCACATCGCTTGAGCATGTATAGAAGGAACCCCCAGTTCACGTGATTATAAGCTTTCTGAATATCAAGTTTACATAACATTCCTGGCATCCCCAGACGCAATCGAGAGTCGACGCATTCGTTCGCTATAAGCACAGAATCCAGAATCTATCTTCCTTTCACAAAAGCATTCTGACTCTTAGTCACCACTTTCCCCAACACCTCCTTCAATCTATTCGCCAGGATCTTCGCGATAATCTTGTACAACCCACTAACTAAGCTAATAGGGCGAAAATCCTTAATGTCGACTACTCCCGATTTCTTTGGAATTAGCACAATAAATGAGGCATTAGAACTTCTCAGGAACCTACCGTACTCAAAAAAATAAGTGATAACATCTATAATGTCCGGTCTCACCACCTCCCAACAAGCCTTATAAAATGCGAACGAGAAGTCATCCGGTCCTGGTGCCTTATCTTCATTCATACTGAAAACCACATCCTTGATTTCATCTT